TACAGTTCAGCTCCGGCGAACGCCGTCTCCGCCCAGACCCTTCGCCGGTTGTCCACTCTAACACGCAACACAGGAACCAATGTATTATCCACGCTGAATACCCCCAGTTCGCTTGCCTCGCACCCCTGCTCGGTGTCTGTTGTGCTAGGGGACTACGGTGTCAGTAGGGCTCGGGCTAACCTCGATGGTTGTCGGGGCTACGTGGGTACTCCAGGCTACATGGCACCAGAGATTTTGGAGCATTTTGGAGAGGAGACGTATACGGCAAAGGTTGGTTTTTGTTTTTTCCCCTTACCTTCTGATTGCCTCTGTTTGCTTTCCCTGCATGGCATCTTTTATTCCCTCCCCCTGCTTGTCCTCGTTTTTAGCCACCTTTGTTTGATTATCCTTTGTTTGGACAATTCGCCACCCTCCCCCCTTTCTGCTCTCTCACATTGCTGACTGCTTGGACAGGGGTGGTTGACGCGAACACTTCCTGATTGTTTCCTACTGGCAACCATCCAGATGCCGAACCCAGAATGGTCGGTTCGGTTTAGTATTTCCTGATTGCTGAAGGGAAGTTTTGCTAGCCATTCTCGCTGGACACGTCACATTAATCCTACACCGTCCTCGTCGGCATTGTTGTACGCGCATACAAGCCGGGGCGCTCTCAGTGTGCCCATTTGTATAATTTTGAGTGTTCAGAAAACTCCTGTGATTTGTGGGGTTGTCTCAAAAGCGATATTAGGTCAGACGCGATGGAATCGGTTTATTGTTCGAGTAATTAAACGCCACCCAATATAAACCTTTTAATTTTTTCGAATGCATTGCCGTCGGATAACCGTTTGGACGCACGACACTTACGCCATCAGATATAAACTCCTTGCAAGCGAGTTATGACGTCCTGAGAGTGTAAGTAGATATTACTTTCATTAACCAGGTATATTGTTATATAACGGTATATTTTTTATTCAATTATGGTGTTGGCTCTGGCTCTATCGTATCTCCGCCGTGGGGTTGGGAGTTTGAGCCTCAGCGTTTGGGTATGGCCGCCTAAAGACGATTGATAAACCCGAAATGGCCACCATAGTCGTCTCTCTCGTCTTTGTCGGTACTGCTCTTCTACTGAAATACTCATAGTAGTTGCTTGGTCGTGGAGGGAGGGAGGCGGCTCAAATGTGAGCCCCAAGGTCTAATGTGACCTTTACACTATCGGCGAGTCCCTTTCTTTCCTTAATCCCATTCTCCCTCTCTCTCTCGCCTTATCTTTTTTCATTCTTGCTTTATCTTGTGGCGGTCTAAGTAGTGTTTGTGTCTAGATCACTACAATCATCAGGCCCAGGTTGGAAGTTAAAAGGCAGAAGTCACCATAAGGAGTGATTTATTGTGTACAGAAGTCCTCTTTGCTGTCCCAGGCGGCAGTGGCCACTGGCGAAGCCAGGGCTCATGTTAACTGCGTCCAGCCAGACCTGAGAGAGAAAGAGACAGTGGAGGCAGCTGCCTAAGTGGGATTGCGGAGCAGATTCAAGGGGTTTGCCATTGGGGTTTCAATTTGTCTGAGGGGATGTCGCCTGTGGAGGTCTTTGCTGCATCGGCCCATTCAAGTGGCCCTTAGGCAGACGTACTTACTTGGACTGGGATGTGTGCCCGACCGAATATCGGTTAAGTGGTCTTCAGGTCAGCGAGTGGACCAACCGCCGGCGAAGACGCATGACGTTGACGCAGCGAGCATTGGGAGGGGGAACAA